TAGTTGGCATTTTAAAGTGAAGCCCCTGGTTAGTAGACTATTCTGAAAACCCAGAGGTTTTTAAATAATAAAATATAATGAAAAATAATTTTATTTAGTGTTGTGGTAGTTGTATAATCTAGTGTCAATTTGGGACTTGAGAGGATTGAGAGTAAAGGGGAGGAGCCTAGTCTGTTAATCAGGTCATAGCCAATGAGGCCTCTGTGTGAGCATTGCCTTCCCCTAATGATTCAGGGAGATCTGGTTTTTCCTCCTTGGAGGTGGGAGACACTTTTCTCTCTCTGCTTACTCCATGGGAGACAGTGGAGCTGACAAGACACATGGTACTACTGTGGCCCCTCTGTGGGGGGGATTGTTCCATTGTCTACAGATGGACTTTGGATCTCTGCTCCAACCCCCTTCGCTCTCAACAATATGTTTTTCTTTGTTTGTTTGTTATGTGTCTGCTGATGCCTACTACCTGGTCCTTAGGACTCCTCATGATCGCACCAGTGGTGTGCTTCTTCTATGTGGACTTGTTGCTTCTCTGCTGAATGGCAGCTTGTGTAATTGCAAGCCTTTAAGACCCCAGATGCTTTATCTTTTAATAGCTGAGCACCATCTTCCCTTTTCACCACATTTGCTTTTGCACCTATTTTCTCTTCAGCAATTTTGTCGGGAGGGTCTTACAGCTCTTATAACAATCCATACATCAATGTATCAAGCACATTTGTTCATATTTGCCATCATCATTTTCTAAACACTTACTTTCTGTTTGAGCCCTTGGTATCAGCTCCTTTTTCCTTCTCTCCCCACCTCCTACCTTCCTGACCCCTTGATAAATGAGAAATTATTATTATTTTTATATTTTACACTGACCATTATCTCCCTTCACCCATGTTTCTGTTGTTTGTCCCCCTCAGGGGTGAGGGGTGGATGTTATGTGTTGATCATTGCAATTGGTTTCCCCTCCCTTCCTTCCTCCCCCATATCCTCCTAGTATCGCCACTCCCATTTCTGTTCCTGAGGGGCTTATCTGAACTGGATTCTGTGTGTCATGAGCTATTATCTGTACCAGTGTACATGTTCCAGTTTAGCCAGAAATGAAAGGCAGGATTGTACATGAGCCAATACAGTATGAACTGTAAGTCAGGATTGGAGTGAGGATAGTAGGGATATGTACAGCCACTGTGGAAAGCCATCTGGTGATAATTAAAACAAATGGAAATTTAGTTACCCAATAGCCCAGCAATCGCTCTACTGGGAATATACCCAGTAGAAGTAAGAAATAGACCATGACCAGTCATCTGTGCTCCAATGTTTATTGCAGCACAATTCACAATTGCAAAGAACTGGAAGCAACCTAAATTTCCATTGATAGATGAGTGGATTAGAAAACTTTGGCACATACACACAATGGAGTACTATGCATCACAAAAAAGCACTGATGATTGGATGAGGCACATTGTCTCATAGGAAGAGTTGGAGGAAATAATGCTGAGCGAAGTTAGCTAATCACAAAAGGACAAGTACAACATGAATCCACTGAGGTAAGTATAATCAGATAAGTCGGTATAAGAGAAAAGCCACTTATCCATAATTTCTTATGGGAAAAGAACATGTTCAGTTCTCAAACTTCTCAGTGTTTGAAAACAAATTTGGAACTTATTGATCACTGTATTTACTAGTGCTGTAGTTATAGCCATAAATTCGGTGGGCATGCTGGGGTCAATGTTATCAAAACTTAAGACACAACCAAACCTTTAGGGAATGCATTGCTGGGAAATCAGGACCATAGTTTTCGAGGATATCAAGGTCCACCGGCATAACATAGCTCACAAAGATAATGTTCTACACATCCTATTTTGGTGAGTAGTGACTAGGGTGTTAAAAGCTTGTAACCAGTCATATAGGGTGTAACTTTGGTCTCTCCCAATCTGTACAAATGAAGAATGATGAAGATCGACAGGCATGTGCACACATTTAGTCCAACTGACTAATGTACCATGCAAACATCCATAGCGCTGAGACCAGAAGAATTAGATGGTGCCCAGCTACTACTACCAACTGCTCTGAAAAAGATCACATTAGAAGGTTCTGGCCCCAAATCCATTTGCAGCGTTACCATAGGGATTGAACTTCCATGGATTCCCTGGAACCATTGACCAGGGATGTGACCAGGCTTGCCCTCAGACCAGAGTGCATTGGAAAGTGGATAACTGGATATAGTTGGGTTAAAATGTAACATATTATCATTTATTTTACCTATTTTGAATTTGTTCTAGTTTATATTCTCTTCTCATTTCTATTGGATTGATGTTTTTCTGTTCTATTTTGTTGTCATTGTTGGTGTTTTTTGGTATGATTTTCTTTATATGAAACCCAGGGTAAGTAATTCATAGAGACAGTAACTTGATTAATAATTTTGTAGAGTTACGGGCAGTGGACTTGGGGGAGCGGTTGGAAGTAATGGGAAGCTAATAATAATGGGTTCAACAATGAAGAACAGGTCCTAAAATTGATTGTGGTGATGAATACACGGCCCTTTAAAATATATTTAAACCACTGAATTCTATGGTATATGAATGATATGTCAATAAAACTTTAAAAAATTTAACCATTGTCATAGGTGTTTGGAGTATTCTTTTTACAGGAGGAGTAAAAGAGACCAATAGAGGTATACTTCAATTCTACACAATCTGTCCATATGGGATCAACTCCATGATTCCTAGTAGAAAGGGATGTAAATAAAGGCCACTAGTGATAAGAAATATGAACCCTTGTGGAACAATGGTTACAGGCTCAGCTCCTAGCCAAAAGGTTGGTGGTTTGAACCCACCAGCTGTTCTGTGGGAGAAAGGTATGACAGTCTCCTTCTACGAAGATTTACAACCTTGGAAATCCTATGGGGCAATTCTAGTCTGTCTACTAGGGTTGCTATGAAGTAGATTCAACTGAATGACAATGGGTTTAGTGATGAAAAAGAAGCCTTGGTGGCAAAATGCCTAAAGGTCATCAGTTTAAACTCACAGGAAATAAGACCTGACAATGTATTCCTGTAAAGAGTACAGCCTAGGAAACCCTACAGGACAACTCTACTGTTGTCCTCAGTAGCCTCCAGCTACTGAGTTGATTCCAACTCATAACAATCCCGTAGAGAGTTTCCAAGACTAACTCTTTGGAGCACAGCCACCCTCATCCTTTCCTCGTGGAACAGCTGGCTTGAAAATCCAATCTTGTGGTTATCAGTCTAACATATAATCCCCTGCACTACCAGGGCTCCTTAGAATTCTAAGAGTTTTATTCCAGCCTTACTCAGAAGACAAGTTGTAAAGTTTCTTATTGTGATTTGTTTTAATGAAAAGGAAAAAAAAATATGGCTCCATTGGCAGACACAATCAAATACATTATTTTATTAAAACTATTTTCAACATTTCCCAATCTTCCAAAAGAACTGGCATAAAATTTATTTACAAACACACACACACACAAAAGATGAACAATGTAAAGTACAAAACCCACTTCTTGAGTTGCATCAAGTCCATACATTTTACGCCTTTGTTTTGAATAAAGGCAAGTTAATGGTTGGGCATCAAGGCTCTCCTGAGATATTAAGTCATTAGATACTAAGTCATTATCTTTTAGGGGACTAGGAAGGATGATTGGGGAAACAAAAGTACATCTAATTTATTCTGGAAATAGCAACAGTAATCATAATAATGGCCAAATCAAAACAAATTCCCTGCCCATCAAGGTGATTCTGACAGTGACCCTGTAAAGACAGGGTTGAACTGCTTCTTTGGGTTTTTGAGCCTGTAAATTTTTGTGAGTATAAGTTTCTCTTATTTTTCTCCTGCAGAGCAGCTGCTGGGTTTGGAAGGTTGACCTTAAGGTTAGCAGCCCAGCTTAGAATTCAGTGTCATTAAGGCACCCTAGCCTAAATCTATTTGGTAATCAAATTTTCTAAATACTCCGTTAAGTCCTTTTATGCATTTTATTTAATTTTTACAGAAACTTCATAAATTCAATCACTTGCTGCCATTGAGTCAATTCCAACTCATCCCAACCCTGGAGGGCAGAGGAGAACTGCCCTGGGGGTTTCCAAGACTGTAACTCTTTATGGGAGTAGAAAGACTCATCTTTCTTCTAGGGGGCAGCTGTTGGTTTTGAACTGCTGATCTTGTGTTTAGCAGCCTAATGCATAAGCAACCATGCCACCGAATTAGTTTCTATTATCTTGAATCTGAGGCTGTGATTACTTAAGAGTAACAAGCCCAAGGTCATATACTAGAGCTCAAATTAGAACCCAAACCAAGTCTGGTGTCTACAGTTTTAACCACCCTGTTGTACTGTGTCTTTTTATAAATAAAGCAATATCGCCTTCAATAACAGAATGTCATCTTTGACTGAAGGGCAAAACCCAGCTGAGTTATTTTCATTCACTCTGCAGCGAATGCCTTGCTGTTACCACAATGCTAACGCTGCATTGATATGTTGATATAAAACCCAGCAAGGTAATTATGACTGAATTCTAAAGTGTCTGATAAATTTCCAGCTACCAGGGAAAGAACCGAAAATTGAAATGTGGCACTTTCTGTTTTAGTCATTGTATTAGAGAAGCCTTTTAATAATTCCATTATATGTTTAGGTACCTCCAGGGATGTTATTCTGGGAAGAAATATTTTAAGAAACAAGTTGGCATCATTTGTACAGAAACCAGGCTTTTAACTTTTTCTCTTATAATTCTCAACACATCTAAGTGAAGACATTTCTAAATGGAATGGGAAGGGTGCTAGCATAGGAAGATTAAATTAATGATAAGAAAACCTGACAAAACCCAAACAAACAACAACATATTCAGTGAGGGAGGGAGAAAAGGGTTATCGTCCTCATTGAAGTTATTTTGTTTTATTGTGTTCGGAAGGTTGGAAGGCCACACAAGTCAAAGGTTGTATATGGAATTTTTTCAGACCTGAGAGAGGTAAGGTGGTTTGGCAGTTTAACGACAAAGGCAGACTTACCTTTAGGAGAGCCAAGGCTACATGGAAGATTATGTTCAAACCCTGAAAAAGAAAAACAAAGGAAAAATCAACACTGCTACATTGATCACTGCTTTGTTAAGTGCTTTCCAAAGACTGTTTTAATACAATCCTTTGAGTAAAAAGCGCTTACTTCCATTTTCACTTACAACAGCTAAACCATGAGCTTAAGAAAAAGGCAACTGCCTTCTGTGAGAGGCTTATTTCAAAATGCAGTGCTATGTAATCGACACTCATATAAAATTACTCTACTTACAACAGATAAAGTTATTTTCTTTCAACCATTTCTGGATTACATCCATGCGTCTGAGGCTTGTGAAAGGGTCCCTGCTGGCATTATAGGGTACATGGTAGGCTGCTAATTACCAAGGTCAGTGGTTCAAACAAACAAGTTGTTCCGAGGGCAAAAGATGAGGCTGTCTGCTTCAGAAATAAATATAGTTTAGGAATCTCTATGTAGGGTCACTATCAATTAGAGTTGATTTGATGGCATTGGGTGGGACTTAAGACTTGTGAAAGTGAAGATTCTTGCTCAAGATGGCAGGGTGTCACAGAAGTTTAAAACAAAGCAAAACAAACTCTCCGAGTTTAACATCTGGGTGATGAGGTTAAATTGTCAGTGGCAGACAAAATAAAATAAAGTATAAAAAATGATGTTAATAAGTGGGATACACTGTACTGAGACTTCAAAAGTTCCTAGAAAAATGGAATTAAAAGCTAATGAAAACTTTCCATGACTTTTTTGCAATGCCCAAATATAAAGGCCACTCTAACCATCCTAGTGGAGCCCAGGTAGTGAGTGGTTACTGCTGGGCGCTCTCCACAAGGTCACATTTAGAAACCACCAGATGCTCTGAGGGAGAAAGACTGGGCATTCTGCTTCGATCCAGAGTTACAGTCACGGGGCAGTTCTACCCTGTCCTACAGGGTGGCTATATGAGTCAGTATCAGCTGGCTGGCAGTGAGAGGAACCATCCTGCCCGCATTCCACAAAGGCTGTTACTGTTTCCTGTTTGTTTGTTTAATCATTTGTCTTCAAGTAGGAGTTATACAACTGGGGATGGTAATTAAGGGGTATCTGCCAGACTTCCCCTATTTTCTTCCTTTTTCTACTTCACTTTCTGGTAAGAAAAAGGTTGTCAGATTGGAATACAAAATTTATAGAGAACCAGAGTAATATTTCTTTAGAAATAAATTAAACTGTTTCCTGAGAAATCATATTGGGGCTGAATTTTAAGTGCTGGGTTCAGTCCAAAGTCTCTGAAGAGATACTGAAATATTAAGTTCAAGAGATGAGGATATTCCAGATAACAGAAGCAGAAACAAAGTGATTCATGAATGTGTTGTTTTCTAGTCTTTCAAGTCACTGTAAAGGGGGAGAGAGAGATTTCAAGAATGAGGTGGCACCTCCCATAAGTTCAAATATAATCTCTGTTTCATCGACTAAATAAATTATGTAAAGAACTCCTAATAAAATATGGTCTTTGTTTCCAAAATCAGAACAGAAGATTAGAACCAGATACTCAGAGTGCATTCCCATTATCCTTTGCTATGGCAACCTTTCATTTTGAGCTCCCAAACATATGTCATAGAGGTAGCTGGATGAATCATAAATAAAAAATATTTAGTTTGAGGTTTGGGGTTTATGGAATTAATAATTTTAGAAAAAAAACATCAGATATAATTATAGTCAGATCAGAAGGCAAAAAACCAAATTGCCATAGCTCTTCACTACACCAAGCAATGATCCTAGATTAGTTTTTAAAAAAGGTAAAAATATATTTATAACACAATTATTTGCCAATTCAACATTCATCCTAAGCTAGTTTAATCACAATTTAGCAATTAGGAAACAAAGGAACTACTATATAGACCAAAAGCTTGGGTTATAATTAAGTCAAATTAGCAAAATTTAAATTTGGGAGCTCACCCATTAGCTGCTGCCTACTACTGCCAAAACTTGCAGGCCAAGAGAAAACATAAGCTGCCCTGTCCTCTCATTCACTCTATACCCACTTCACCTGTGAGGCTTTGCTTTTAGGCAGCAGTCAATTCTCATAACCTTAGTGCCTGTCAATCTGTCATTGGGACTAAGTCAATCATGCTTCTAGTTCTATTTTTCCCTGTTACTTCTCAAAATGTAAGCCCCTCTTCTCTCTCTCTCTCTAGTCTCCATAATGCTCAGGCTCTTTTTCCTAACCTCATTTCTCACTCCTTTCTTTTCCAAATCATCTCATCGTGCTCTCAGAAAGCTCCACGTCATGTTCAAATAGCTATGCTATATGCTAAATCTCCGTGCCACACACCCCTAACCCTTTTTTGCTTTCACAGGAATAGTGAAATCTCATTGATTCTCATAACAGCCTGTACTATGATCCTCATTTTATAGAGTATAGAACTGACCAGCCCAAGGCTCTATATGTCTGGTCTTGTGCCAGCCTCACAATCAACGCTGTTTGAGCCCATTGTTGTAGCCACTAGGTCAGTCATCTCATTGTGACTTACTCTTTTTCCCGGACCATCTACTTTACCAAGCATAATGTCTCTCCTGAAGACATGTCCAAAGGATATGAGATGAAGTCTTATTATCCTCACTTCCAAGAATCATTCTGGCTGTATTTTTTCCAACATAGATTTGTTCAATGAAATAAGTTTGATTTCTTGATGGCTGCTTCTATGGTGTTGGCTTATTATAGATTTAAACAAAATTAAATCCTTGACACCTTCAATATTTTCTCCACTTACTAGGATGTTGCTTATTGGTCACATTGTGAATATTTTTATTTTCTTTATATAGTGAGTTGTAATCAATACTGAAGTCTTTGATTTTCATCAGTTAAATGTTCCACATCTTATTCACTTTTATCAAGCAAGGCTGTGTTATCAGAATTATCATTGGTCATTAATAAGACATTTTTCAAACCTGATGCCACATACTTCTTCATATAGTCCAACTTCTTGGATAATTTGTTTAACATGCAGCCTAAGCATTGTGAAAGAATACAATTCTAATGCAGAACTTTCCTACCATTAAAACTACACAGTATCCCCTTGTTCTGTTTAAATGACTCATTTTTGGTTTATGTAGATTTTTGTTCTGTTTAAATGACTCAATTTTGGTTTATGTAGACTTTTGCATGAGCACAATTCAGAGTTCTTCCCCTTAACATACAAGACAAAGACCTTAACTTGGTCCAACTTCATCAAGAATAACAGCGTTGGCTCAGGTAGACAATGGCCAAGGTGTTAGGGCTGAACACAGTAATGCTGGAGAACTGAGTCCTTCCCACAATCCCTTCCAGTTTCAGATGAGCTTCGAATGAGATGAGGTCCTGGCAGGTTAGGACTTGGAGTGGAAGGTCATTTACTGGCTCAGCTGAGAGTGGTGTTTGATAAGATCCTAGAACTGGTGCTGACCTGCTCTATGCCAGCAGGGAGGCACATGTTGGACTTTCAAGTTAATGTCTCTAATCCATCCCGAGATCCATGCTGTATCTACCATGGACAGGGGTTCATCTTACTGACTACCATGCCAACAACTAGTACTCTAGCTCTGAGCTGTGGGAGACCCTATCCAAAAGGCAGACTTTACTCAGCTTTGGTATAACATTTTATCTTCAAATCCCTGGGTGATCTGCTTCCACATCACTGGGACAACAACACAGACAGGCTGGAGGCATCAACAACCAGGACCCTTAAAAAAATCATTGTATTGGGAGCTCTTACAGATATCGTAACATTCCATAGTTCAGTGACATCAAGTAGTATTGTACACTTGTTACCACAATCAATTTCAAAACATTCTCCTTCTTGACCACCTCGATATCTGTTCCCCTTTGTCCCCTCCCTCCCACAGGATCCTTATTATTGTTAATATATATATATATATAT